CCGACTTCAGCCAGGTCACGATCTCGTGCTCCGTGAGTTCGAGCCCTGCGTCGGGCTCTGGGCTGATGGCTCAGAGCCTGGAGCCTGTTTCCGATTCTGTGTCTCCCTCTCTCTCTGCCCCTCGCCCGTTCATGCTCTGTCTCTCTCTGTCCCAAAAATAAATAAACGTTGGAAAAAAAAAAAAAAAAAGAACAGTGGTTTGGGGAAAATATCTATCACTGCCCCTTCTACGAAAACGACGGGCTTGCTTAGTGATACCTGCCTATTCTTTTACACGGTTTAAAACATTTCAATTATTTTACATGAAATAATTTCTCAACACTAAGTATTCGGAATGTAGAAAATGACCCATTAGAAGATCTTATCCTCATTAAGGGTCACAGTAACCAAGTATCACTTAGGGGGGAGTTCTCAACCACAAGTGGCCAGCAGTACTATGAGGAGACGTGCCACAACGTGGATGGGCCTTGAGGGTATCACACTGAACAAAGTCAGTCAGATGGAGAAAATACCATATGATTTCACTCATACATGTAGGCTCAAAAAAAAACAAAGCAAAGCAATAGAAAAACAAATTTACAGGTATGGAGAAGAGATTGACTGTTCCTAGAGGGTAAGGGTGGGTAGGGGGACGAAATGGGTGAAGGCGGTCAAGTGTATGGTGACAGATAAAAACCAGACTTTTCAGGGGCGCCTGGGTGGCGCAGTCGGTTAAGCGTCCGACTTCAGCCAGGTCACGATCTCGCGGTCCGTGGGTTCGAGCCCCGCGTCGGGCTCTGGGCTGACGGCTCAGAGCCTGGAGCCTGTTTCCCATTCTGTGTCTCCCTCTCTCTCTGCCCCTCCCCCGTTCATGCTCTGTCTCTCTCTGTCCCAAAAATAAATAAAAACGTTGAAAAAAAAAATTTAAAAAAAAAAACCAGACTTTTCAGAGTGATCACTTTGTAGTGCATACCGATGTTGCTTTACAATCAAACTTGAAACTTATATCCCGATTTTGCCTCCATTAAAAAAGAGATGCAAGAGGCGGCAATGAAGAAAGAGGAAGAAAATATCCTCCAAGAGCTAAGAAAGAAACACTGTGAAACACCCAACAGGGGAAGCCAAAGAGACAGACAACAGGAGAGAAAACCAGGTTATAAGAGGAGGACCGGCCCAGCAAGCCCAACAAGAAACTAGCAAGAGCTCTGAGCTCTGAAAACATAAAAGACAAACAGGGAGGGGCGCCTAAGAGGCCCAGAAGGTTAAGCACAGCGGACTCTGGGTCTCAGCTCCGGTTCGAGCTCAGGATCTGGACTTCAAGCCCCGTGTGGGGCTATGTGTCAGGCTCCACGCTGGGCATGAAGCCTACTTTCAAAAGACAAAAGGAAAACTGTTGTCAAAGAATATGGCGTGAAATGGGAAAATGTAAACAACGTATATTAAATAAAAATGTGGTTATCAGAAAAAAAATTAAAAAATAAAACAAAAAGACAAAAGGACAGAAAGGGAGAAAGAAACTATCAATGAAGGAATACCAAAGACCTCCCAGCACGTGAGCTTCCACATTCCGGGATAAGCAGATGACCTGGCACTGCTATGTTTCATCCTAACCTCACGGTGCCGACTGGCTTCCCTTATAGAGTACAGGCACTACACTGATAAAAACAAAAGCACTTAAAATGTGACCCCTTGCTGCCTGGAGAACATACAGAATTTATTCTGACACCACCTTCGGAACAATACCACTTGTATGCTGAAGTCACACGCAAGCTCTCCCTTAACCTCTCCTTTTCAAGTCACACTAACTCTGCTCCTGTAAATCTCCACAAGTGGGTCTTCTTATTCAACTTTCAGTTTGCGCAGTAGACTTCACAGCCTTCAGCCCTGTCTGTACTTGGAAATGGAATTCTCATCAGAGTCTGATCAGCACCAACATTAATCTTCAAGGAGGTGATAAGAGAGCATTGGCTGTTATATACCATACACATTCAGGATTTTCACTGTGTCATCCTCTATCTTTGTCACACGGTTTGGGCTGGCTGTAACACCAGAAGCTTTTCCTTTCACCCTTCTACGTGCATAATTCGACTATTTTCCACCTGTATTTGGGTGTTTTTATTTTTCTACCAAATGCTATGCATTCTCTAGGCCTCGGGAGCCCGTGTTTGTTACAGTCTCCCCGTCTCTGTCTCCCTCTTCAGCCCCATATTTTCTCCATTTCCTGAGTGCTTACATTTGCCAAGGGGGTGGTGCCTTTGAGGACGACTCCAGAGGCAGGGAGCAGACAGAACAAAGAAGGAAAAATGGCAAGAGACGACAAGGGATTAAACCGGGACCATGTAACAGAGATGTAGAGGGAGGCTTGTAGAAGAACTCCTTAGGTTGTAAACCAGGCAAAACTGAACGGAGACTGTGGAGAACTTCAGGACCATTCTCTGGCTTTCCAGTCTAGGTAGGAGGGTGAACAACAAGAGACCCGTGGAGAAACAACAGTCTTTTATCCACCGAGACAGACGACAGCGCTCTTGATCAGCACCTGCAGTTAGCACCTCAGCCACAGTGGAAAAGCACCAGGCTTGGAGACAGGAGACTTGAGTCTCAAACCCTCAACACTGCCATGACCTAGTCTGTTAAACCAGGGTGATTCCCCGAATGCTCTCTTTTTTTTTTTTTTTTTTTTAATTTTTTTTTTCAACGTTTATTTATTTTTGGGACAGAGAGAGACAGCATGAACGGGGGAGGGGCAGAGAGAGAGGGAGACACAGAATGGGAAGCAGGCTCCAGGCTCTGAGCCATCAGCCCAGAGCCCGACGCGGGGCTCGAACTCACGGACCGGGAGATCGTGACCTGGCTGAAGTCGGACGCTTAACCGACTGCGCCACCCAGGCGCCCCCCCCGAATGCTCTCTTAAGGTTCTGTTTACTCACCTGTGGGGGAACGGTGAAGGTACCGGCTAGGACATCACATACCGTGAGTCAGTGGCCTCTCAGCCACCAAGCTTTCAGAACAGAGCCTTATCCAGACCAATCTGGGGCAACGTGGACGCCTGATGCGGGAGGAGGAGAAGGGCGCTACAGCAACATGATGCCTCCCTGGGCCTCACTCTGAACCTCCTGGGTTCTGATTTTCCATCAGCGGGAATTCCTAACAACTTGGGTTTCACAAGCCACGGAGAACAGAAAGCAAAATCATAAAGGGTGCAGGAGGATTTATCAGAGACACATACAACAGCCAGGGAAACAACAGCTTTTTACCAACCCAAGGAGGAAAAAAACTCAAAAGGAGGCGTAACGCTCAGCTATTTCATGTCAAGGTAGTGGTCCTGAGTCATCAGAAAAAGAGATTAAATTACACTGAGTACCCTCTGATTAAGAAAATGTGCAGAAGAAGGTAGAAACTGTATAACTTATTTTATAAAGATTTCCATCAAAATCAGTTAGATTTAGAGGATTTTAGTCCTTGAAGGTGTAAGATTCAGTTATCTGGAAAACTAATTTATGATCAGTTACCTGGAAAATTCCATCTTATTCTGGAAAATGACCAGATAAATGGGGTGTCACTGAATGTGCTACTTCGGTACAAATAAATGAATCAAGTTTAAAACAAAAGCTCCTTAATTTCTCAGCTTATTTTACCTGAGCTGCAAAGTATTTCCTATGAATTACTTGTATGTTTAAAATATTAATGTGTAACACTTTACACTGTTCAGATAAGCATAAGTAGTAAACCAACATCGTTTCTTTTTCACGAATAAAGTCTCCCACATATTACTTCTATAAATGTCAGTACCCAGATGGAAGCAAGAAAAATAAGTAATGAAATTAAGTGAATTATCTACACAAATGGGGAAGGAAATAGTATGGATGATTCTGTATATGTGTGTGTGTATATACACACACACACATTTATATATTTTTTTCAATGTTTATTTTTGAGAGAGCGTGTACAAGCAGGGGAGGTGCAGAGAGGGGGTGTGGGGGACAGAGAATCTAAACCAGGCTCCGCAGTGACAGCAGATAGTCCGATGCCAGGCTCAAACTCACCAACGGGGAGATCATGACCTGAGCTGAAGTCAGTCACTCAACCGATTGAGACACCCAGGTGCCCCCCAAATAATGAATATATTAAGATCACTTATATTTGACTATCTGAACAGTGACACAAATTAATTCCCTCTACAGTGCTACATTCCAGCCAATCTACATTCCCTCTGGCTAAACTAAGAATGTGGCTAGGAAAACTTGGGTGTAAAAAATCTGAAAGACAAATTAACTGCCCAAATTTCAGGTAGTTAAAATTCAATTTTATTTTTAATTTTAAAAAAGTACAAGTTAAATTTATCCTCAATTTGGCCTTCCAAATATCCATTATTCAAATAAAGACTAAATTTCTGCCACATTTCTCCTAACCCCTGAATAACTAAAGTCAAATAATCATCAACATTTCAAGACAAAACTCAGGCTAAACAGAGGACTTGCACTAATATAGGGCACAGATTAAAACCAATCCAAAATTTGCCCCTGAATTATTCAAGTGAAAACACGGCCTTATCAAAAGATCTACATTTAACATCAACTGAAAAGGTCCACGTAGTTCAAGGGTCATTTAACATCAACCGAAAAGATTCACGTAGTTCGAGGGTCAGTACCGTGGCCTGACAGTCGGGAACAGATCCAATATGCAGACTAGAGTTCACATTAGTCAAATCTTGTTAGACTCTTAAATGAATGATTCATTCGCTGGTACATGAAGCAGAGCTATTTTGTTTTTTTGTTTTTTTTTTAATTTTTTTTTTCAACGTTTATTTATTTTTGGGACAGAGAGAGACAGAGCATGAACGGGGGAGGGGCAGAGAGAGAGGGAGACACAGAATCGGAAACAGGCTCCAGGCTCCGAGCCATCAGCCCAGAGCCCGACGCGGGGCTCGAACTCACGGAGCGCGAGATCGTGACCTGGCTGAAGTTGGACGCTTAACCAACTGCGCCACCCAGGCGCCCCGAAGCAGAGCTATTTTGGTAGAACACTGTAACAGCACAATTCCAAACATCAGCCGTATCATTTCCAAACCAATGAAAATTCAACAGGGATGATCAACGGTACAGTAAGGATGTTGCATGGAGAAATGAATTTTAGTAATATTTAGCTATGACCTTCTGAATAGTTGTCTATGTTCTTACAGAGAAACAATAAGGTAAGCAATTAATTCTTTCAGGAAAAAAACGTTCTCACCTAAGTCTGTTGAGAGATATAACATCACAGACTCTCCAGTATTACTCCTCAGGAATTCAATGAATGCTGGTATTCCAGCTCTGACTTCAGCCACCGCAGCTTTCATTTTTATTTCTCAGCCATGCACATATGTAACTCCATACTCAACGTAACACACGATATCTTGAAACTCACGATGTTACTTATATGCCAACCAAGCTATTTGAAAATAAGCAGAGGGTGCCTGGATGGCTCAGTTGGTTAAGCGTCCAACTCAGTTTCGGCCCCAGTTGTGATCTCACTCTTCGTGAGTTCGAGCCCCGCGTGTCAGGCTCTGCGCTGACAGCGTGGGTCTCTGCCCCTCCCCTACTTGCTCTCCCTCTCTCTCAAAATAAACTCTGAAAAAAAAAAAGGAAAGAGAAAACAAGTAGGACTCTGTCAGTAACACCACAAACAACAGGAGTACACTCACTCTTCCCACTACTGTTCATTCTATCCATACACTTCTCTGTAAAACAGGAGTGAATCTTTTAAGTTCTCTTCCCTCCTCCTTTCTGGCTTGGTTTTTCTAGTTCTCTCATGGGTAATAGAACTAGTTTAAGTAAATACCTTCTATAGGTTATCACACAGACACAGTATGATAAAAAGACATTTCCTTTAGTACATTCTAAGAACTAGTTTAAGTAAATACCTTCTATAGGTTATCACACAGACACAGTATGATAAAAAGA